CTGCTCGCACGTTTGACGTGGACCTGCATTTACAGGGGATGCCCCATCTCGTGAAATGTTAACCGAGATTCTGAAACGTGTTTTCGACTCAAAAAGATTACTTCAATGGGGTTGTAATATTGCCTACCGTGCATCATAATCCCAAGATGCTTCAACCACATCAGGATGCAGGCTTTTGAATGAACTAATTTTCGACCGTCTGCAAAAATAGCTGCTTAAGCAGTACGACTTCTTCTCATTGATTCTCGATGTCCTTATAATTTCTAACACATCTTATCAGAAAACATGCACAAAAATATTCGTTCCTATACTCATTTGCTAGCAAATTACAATTTCTTTAAATGGCACACTTGAAAAAAGTGCCTTCCGGTTTTAAACAGTTTCCAATTATGAGACTTCCAAGATCGTGAGGTGTCAACTCACAAAACGTTGTATCTCTGCATTTATTAATGTCGCTTGTAAAGTACCCAATATGGTTCAAATCCACCACGAAATTTTATGAACCCAGTGTAGCATCTTCTTAATAGTGTATGATTTTCTTTACACGGAAAATATACAGCCTGCAGTCTGGAAACCCTGAACGCAAGTGTGACAGCGGACCGGGTTTCAAATTATCCGAGAATTGAAAAGGTTTTTAAGAGCCCAAATATACACCTTCAAGCATAAACTTAAATATGTAATTTACCACCAAAGGAGTGGTAGAACGAATATTTTTATGCATGCTTTCTAAAAAGCATAATTGAACCTATAAGGATGTTGAAAATCAATGAGGAGACCTCATGCAACTTAGGTAGGTATTTTTTACAGAGTGCAGATTTTGCAGACGGTCTGAAAGAAGCTCGTTCAAAAGCCGGCATCCTTGTACGACCGAAATATCTTGGGATACTGTCCCACTACCATTAATATTCCAACTCTACTTAAGGTACCTTTTCGAATAGAAAACACATTTTGGAATTTCGGTCAACATTTAATGAGATGGCACATCTACTGTATGCGTCATGTTAGCTAGTCGGCGTCAGTTTCGTGATTTGATTGGGCGATTGGAAAATTTGTGGGCGCCTGTGGTTGGACTTCTTAGAGGCTGCATGCTTGCATGTCCTGGTCGCTCGGGGGCCGCGGTCACATGATTCCTAGCGCGGACTAGGTGCCCGAGTTCGAAAGCTCATGTACGCTTAAAGTGCTACAACGCCATCGGCGAAGAAGCATGCGCGATGGAACTAAAGCTAACCAATTTGTCGTCGCGCCTAGGAAGTTGTCGCTCGAAAGCGAGCGGCACGTATCTGTGGCACTAAATAAGAGGCCGGTGCGGACGCACAACCGAAAACAGCAAAGGAGGCTCACGCAAGCCCAAAATCGCAGAGGCAAATTGCAACAAAAGAACAAATAAGACGACGTGTACCAAGATGAGTGACTGGATGTACACGTACTAACCCGGCAGTCAGTACAGAAGGTCATACGACAGGCTCCTCTACACGTGACAAAACAAGTAAATTTGGGAGAAAGGTTCACACCCCCAAAACCCGCCCAACATAGGAGGTGCGTAACAGAACTTTAGGCTACCAAAAATTGCGTGAAATGAGAAATAACAGATAACAAGGTGAAGCTAAACCAGAACACTCAACGAGAGAAAGTGGGGAGTGTACGCGGGACTTTTGGGACACTACAGGTCCAGTTGATTACCTAAAGTAGCGATGACGTTAACATTCCTTCCGGTAGAACCATAACCGGGGGATCTGAAGGTATTCGGTGGCGGTGGTGGTGGGACTGAAAGTTTTGAAGAAAATGGATAAAAGAACGTAATAATCAAGTAGCCCAGAGACAGTCACCTGTTGATTTTTTTACAGTCCAGTCCGTTCCACAAAAGCAGGCAGCAGCTTACGTGACTACCTTACGGACGCTCCGCGAACAAAAAATGAGTTGCAATTTGCAAAATTGTTGTTTCGTGCAGGTTTCTGGGGGGAAATAACTGTCGTCAAACCTGTGAGCGTACATTAGGCAGCAAATACGTTACCGGGGTGAGATGGACTCATCAAAAAGTGGACCAGCGCAAATTAAAATCTAAAACCGACCTAAAGGGTCACATTATTTTAGGGGCAAACTGATGCAGGGCAGTTTATCGACGGTTTTGTAACAGTTTACTCCCATGATCGCCGGCGTGATCGCCCGCCCAGGCCGGGTTCAGACCGCCTAAAGCTCCTTGTCCACCGATTGTTCGAGTCGAGCGTGACTTGGCAACAGTGCGGCGAGAGCTCGAGGCCAATTGATGCCGCGCCCTCCACTGATTGGCTGTAGGCGGACAAAGTCCAGGCGCACACGCGCCAATGCTAAGAACCTCAAGGGCTGTCCTAACGTGGAGACGGTTGGCCGCGACCGCCTGCTGAGCCGCGTGTACGCCCTCTCGTCTCAGTAGAGATTGTCCTATTATGCCGTCTTCCCTACCTACTTACTTGAGATCACCGCACTTCAACAGTTCTGCCCATAAGAACGCGGTGAAGCACTGCATACTTTTAAAGGCCGTTTAGTGTCGTCGGAAAGCTTTTAATGTTCTAGAATAGCCTGCATTTCCTGGCACTAACGGTCATGGTCACGATGGAAATCCCTCTGATTCCTAGGCCCCCACTTTAATCCTTATCTTGCAGTCCGTTTGAAATGAGATGCCCTCATTACGTACTGGACTTTAGGCCCATCATCAAGACCCTTAATGGTCTATTAAGTGCGGTTCAGCGGTTTAGTCTCACCTGCCCTTTGTGACCATTATGCAACTTCGGTAAGCCACAAACTGCAATTTATCAAGCTTAAGCAACATTGCTTTTTCCCTCACATTAGTGCTTTAGACGATAGGTTGATCACGAGTAAAGGATTTAAGGTGCGGGAATGCTTTGATTGAAAACCGCAAGAATGTATACGCACAGCAAGAGGATATTTGCCATAATAAGAGTTGTCTCACTAGACACAGATTGTGTGGCAATTAAGGTCAAGAATCTGTCTTTAGATCATTAAACTCCACCCAACTATGTGTGCTATCTCACTACTGAACTGTCTAACCTTGTCTGAAACTGCTTGTCTTACGTATTGTCGCGGTCCCAAACCAAAAAGAAACCAGGCGTGAAAATCCGATTAGGCATCTTCCTCCTAATGCATTCGAAGCTAGCGAAAGGTGAGGACCTTCACGTTTTCGCAATACCACAGTGGAGGGATCTGATACCTCTTAAAACTCCAGGATGACAGAGACACAATGATGAACTAGCTATGAAATAAATTGCAGTGCGGAGGATCTGACTAACTTGGATCTCACTTCCCCTTTCATGGTCAAGGTCTGATAAAGATGATTGGAGATGGGATACAGCGCAGTAGTTGATCTCCCATAAAACCCTGATTAACGTATGTCACTAGACCGATCCCTCTGCTATAGCTGGAACGAGCTTGACACACAAATTCACCGGAGTTGGAGACAGGACAATTACCCTCTCGAACGCGATCAAGTTTCGTGAGGAGTACTGCCGGCTAAGAGCCACTTGAAGAGATAAGTCCAACATGTCTGAGTATAGTACGGACAACAGATGATTTGCATGTGCAGGTGCAAAAGAGAACTAAAATGCAGGGCTCACTGATCTAGGTTGCTTCCTGGACTGTCTCATGAGAGCTGACGTTGTCTAGTATGCCCATACTATCAGTGTATCTGATTCTTTAAATAAATTGTAAGACATTCGAACTACCAAAGAACTGGTCGTGCGGCCAAGGCAAAATAAATCAAAAAACAAGACGTGCCGGGGTAGTAGGGTGGGAGCGGGGGCGCAACAACGGGGGTTGGCTGGGGTGCATCTGCAGGGTACGGCGCACCAGGGTACGGATTAGGTGGGACTCCAGGATATGGAGACTGCTGAGGCTGGTACGGCGCCCCCGAATAGGGTGGCGGAGGGTAGGGCGGAGGAGTCGTCTTGTTCGGTGAGGCTAAAATTGGAATAAAGTCCATAAGGCCAGGCCTTACTCAAGACCGAGATAAAAACTAAGCCAGGTATCCTAAGGGACACAATGTAGAGTCAAAAGAGTTTAGAGCTGGGATGGGCACTATCAACCGAAGTTTTACCTTAAAAACTGGGAAGATGCGATAGCCAGCCCTACGCTCTGTCATCTCACACCGCATTGATATCCCTTCGAGTTTAGCTATTATGAGCGTTTAATAAGTTGATTCGTTAGGCAAGCTTCTGACGTTTCATTCTGACACAAGTTGCTTCCTTGGCTGACCTGCAAATGCGAAAAACCTAAAACTCCTCCATACCCAGAGTCGCCTTGAACTATTAAGGCCCAGACTTACGAAAATTCCAGCTTCTAATGAGTGTGGCCCCAGTTGTAATTAATGACCACTTTTTATACGGACTGAAACGTGCAGTTAGTCTCCCACAATCGGTAGGCTTGTGGTTAAACCAAAAAAATGCCAGTGTGAAGTCCATGGCACCCCGACCGAAGGCCGCATGTCCGAGTTAATTACAGGTGAGAAAATTATGTTGTACAATGTGTCGCAAGATGTCCAGAAGTGATATGCAAGTGCGGTTGCGGTAGTGGTGGTAGTAGCAGTTGTAGTGGTAGTAGTAGTAGAAGAAGAATAAAAGGAAGAACTTTTACCGTTGGATGCCATCCGAGGAGACAAACTAAAGTCGGGGAAGTTTAGAGACCACCGAGTCTTCTCTCCAAAGAATTGAGAAACGGTAAGAGTATTCTGCTCGTCACGGTCAATTCGTCAGGCCAAAAGCTATTGAAGATTTTCAGACAGTTGTTCCAGTTCACACTGGTGGAAATGAATAAAATGGTAAACAGATTTATGCCAGTAAGTAGGATTTTTATCGCATTTAAAAAAGAACAGAAAACACATTGGTGGGCAAGAATAGGGAAAATTGGGGGGCGTACGGCCATGGAGTGATAAGTTCGGAGTCGAATAGACGAAATCGGATATCAACAGGCCACCTTTGCTGAAATAACTGCGTCGTGCATCAGCCCAACAAGCTCATAACATTTTTATTCGGCCATTGGAACTTCAAAGTACTGCTTGCTCGGCGCACCATAAAATGAGAACTGCGCGCGTTCAAAGGTAATTAAATGCACAATTTTGTCTGTTTTAGGTACCCTGACTTCCAGTAGTTAGTTTTTTTGTCTTCGTTCCTGAAACCGGGTCCAAGCGTGCAACGGCAGCGACGTTTTCTTGAATCTGCTGACCATTCACTAAACATGGGCAGATCAACATAACTTCGGCCAACCTTCGTTTAGACAATCTTATCCCATTATTACGCATACATCTTGGCAAAAATGCATGACAGTCCGACCGTCACAAACGACGATGTCCACCACCGTCCCCAGGAGCTGGGCCACGCAGCGGTCTCTGGTGAAGCGGACTCACGTTGCACCCACCTCACCCGTCGTGCTCAGATGGGAAGACGAAGTCATGACGAGCGACGGTGGGCATGGATGCCGACTGTATAAGCCTAACAGCCGTCTGCGCGTGCCATTCATGACCTGTCTCTCACACCAACATGCGCCGGACTGCAATAATGGCACCGCATGTCTCACATTGGTCAATGCCATAAAGACTACGTTCGGGAATAGTCACTGCAGCCCGATCCTCGGTCGTGAGCAAGACCGAGTTACCAAATTACCTCGCAACCTTCCAAGCCAACATTTCGACTATCGGGAACGACGTCTATCGTGCGAACCACGAAGTGGGCGTCGGATGGAGACCTATGCGCAAACTTGTTTACTATGGCGCAGCATCCGCCGCACTCAGTCCTCCCTCACCAACCTGGACTAGGTGGTAAGACGGTTTTAAGACGACCGGAGACCAGCTCAGGTGAAATGGCTGACAAAGTCGAAGAACCCACCTAGGGGTGCCACATAAGACCTGGTTCCAATACCAAATACCAGGCTCTCACGAAGGCGGCTCACGTCTTGTACGTGTGAGTACCATAGAGGCCATATTAAGGAGCGACTTCCGCTTGCTTAGTCCTTTGGTCACTCCAAAATACACAAACTGGACACCGCAACCCACTTAGCTGGCAATCTTCCAAGCTCCGACTCTTAGCGCGCCGTGATCGATTGGGGTGCGTTGGATTTCTCGTAGTGGGGAATGCGCTGTTCTGCAAGGTTTTATTCACGAATGTCGGCCTCACTTTTCCCATCCCCTGCACAAGTCAACTATCCGAGTTTGTAAGCCATCTGGCGGTAGGACTGGGCTCAGCGACTGATGCTGCGTGGTCTACGCCCAGGCGTGCCGCCAAACACCTTTCCCTTATGTATGGTAGCAGTCATGGGCTTGCGCGGACTTTGCGCAGCCCGATGAACACGTGACCTTAGCTAATCTGATCCCAGTCCCTGTTCAGCGAATCTGTAGCACAGTCCATTGTGGGAGCCAAATCCTCCAACGCACTACTCTTACATGCACGCCTATATATGCACGGGAGGAGCACTAAGAATCAGTGAACCCAGCACGCAGACTTTCGCAGTCAACGTCAAAGTGGACATGACGTTAGAGTACCAGGTCTCAGAAATTGCTGTGTCCGCTTTGCGTTAGCCATGGCGGTGGTCGTTTCCAAGCGCGTGCTCAAGGACGAAAGACATGGAGTCATACCGACGAACAGTTGGCTTGAGTTCGATAAAGCAAGACTCCCAGTAGCCGACCCATATAGTTAACGCAGATGTACGATAAGCGCACGGAAACCAGTGATACCGGTTTGTCATTTATTAGATGCTGAATCCTCAACTCGATAGAATGCCGACACAAGGAGGGCATTGACACCGAGACCCGTCGATGCATATGCAAACCAATTTTGCCGCTAGGTGACCACTTAAGTTGTTAATTTCATGGTTTAAGACGATATATCTAACACGGGTGTAAGTAAATCTACGTGCCTACTCAATTTTACAAGTTGACAAATATGGACGAGGATGAAAGGTCCTATTCTTTATACGACGGACTAGGCTAAAGCGTTAGCCTACGTCTCTGCGCCCTGTAAGGCCGTCATTTATCGTTAAGGCTTTGTCTATTTTTGTTATTCATTACAATTACCCTAAACTTAGTTGCCGTGAAGAAAATGTGGAGATAAGATGTAGCACGAGTGACCCAAGAAAGGCCAAGACGCCAGCACCGCGGACCAGGCAACTTCGTAGCCAAAATGGGCGCTATAATTAACGGCAGAGTTTAAGTCTCCAGATCAATTGCAGAAATTCAATTCACATCGTTCAAAGTCGTCCAAAGCAGAAGGCTGAGTATTTATTCAGTTGGCTAAAAAATTCCAGGTCCCTTTTTAACTGCTGGAAGTTCCTGAAGCAGGAAATACCTAAGAAAAGAAACTACTACATAAATGCAGAAAGCAATGAAATTCAGAATCTTGTCTTTGATCGGTGGCCATGCCGGTCGTCTCCGTGTACATCCCTTACTGGCATATGCGCAGTCGGAGCCTAACTCTTATAATAACCCTCACAGAGAACTGCACGCTTTATTAAGCATGGACTTATCGCCTTAATGATCAGCGGAGACAAATTTATCAACGTTCCTTGCAGAGCGAATATATATAGGATCCCATCTTCGTCGGAGTGCAATAGAATCCGCATTGCAGCCTGACCCTCGATAGAGATTTATGCCGTTGGCTGGCAGCCTTTCAGGCCGTGGTCATTAGTGCGTAGGATTGTTTGTACTGGTGAAGTATGCTGAAATGCCGTAAGTCAACTGAGTCCACGTCTCTCTCTCTCTCTCTCTCTCTCTCTCTCTCTCTCTCTCTCTCTCTCTCTCTCTCTCTCTCTCTCTCTACCCTGTCCCAGAAACCAGCCCATTAGCAAAGCCGGCCAGTCATCTGATTCAACGATTGAACGCAAATGATTGACGCCACGTTAGCTTGCGCCAAAGTGTGCCATATGTTAGTGGATGTGCGGACACTACTAAGTCCGGTTACTGCCTAATGGGCTCCGATCTACTCCCCCGGCTCCAGCGCATATTCCGCGCGGGTTGTTGAGGGTGTCAGCAGGAATATATAACACAAGTGACACCAACTGGGCCCGATATTGCTGGTCCGACTTTGGTGGCAAGAAGTACTTATAAGCAGTACACTGACAGTCCCCGCAGAACGCATGGACGGTTCTGGTGGCTGTTTCTGCTTCATCCCTTCTCGACACCCTCTCTTATATGGGGCCCACAAAGGTGTACTGGGGCAACACCCCGGTAGGCGTCCTTGACCAATGGGCTAGATCAGATGAGGATGTTCGGCATGATTTTTGTCTTAACAGCCGGTAATCGTTGAATTAATACCCGAACGCCCTCCTCCCAAACTGTGCAAGAATCCTATGGAGAAAGAGATTGGGATTGTAAAGGTAGCCCAGGCTAACTCGGATTGCCTGGGATGAATAGACAACTCTTTTTAGTTGTAGCCTGATCGCCCCCTCGAGAGGGAAGGAGTCAGGGAAGATGCCATAAAAATGCGGTCAAAAGAGGCATCGCAAGTTGGTAGTGACTTGTGAACGCATAAAATGCGGTCAAAGAAAACAACTAAATCCAACAACAACCTCGTCCCCATTACCGCACGTTTTCGCAGGCTACCACAATGAAACTGTTCGCTCTAACAGTCAGTGATGTTTATTCCCTTACGGAAAATTCGATGCCAGACATTATGGCAAGGAGAATGGCTCTTTTTACCTTCAAGCTGGTCTGTCACAAAGGGAACATGACGGTTCTTATAAGACTCTATTCTCTGAACAGGACCAGCTGAGGGAGGCAAGTACCGGATGTACCTTTCGTGGAGCGGACACCCAAGGGAAGAGTGGTAAGAGACCGGAGTTACCTTTGCCATCAAGAAGGACGTCGGAGATGGCTGTCCTGCTTGCCACAGGACTTCGACGACCCTGTCATCAACGTAAGAATGCCTCCCTGATGAAAAAAAGGCTGGATACCAGTGTCGCAACACTCAGATTCGCCGCGAATCTGAGTGTTGCGACATTGAAAATAAAGGCCTACTGATTAATTTCAGTAGGCATGTTTGTTTAAAATACTGCCGTCCAGTGCTTTTCCCTTTGCATGCGCGTCCGTCGTGTCTATCGGGGTATTGCTTGTGTTATTGGTGATACAATCACTCACCGCAATTTCTATTCCTATTATTCGTTGCAGAGGTGGCTGCCCCACTACGTGTCTATGTACGGTATTGGTAGTAACTTCCTGATGTCCGAATTAAGCGCATTTCCAACAGTAGCACAGTCATTGACGTTATTGGTACTAGCAGTATTACAGTCAGCGTTACATATAAAATAAAAGTTAGTAATGTAGTCGTGGTCATGTCAGTGGTAGTATTCGAAGAAGTAGTAGTAGCAGTAGTAGTAGTAGTAGTAGTAGAAATAGGAGTAGCAGTAGAGGTTGTAGTAGTAGTAGCAGTACTAGTAGTAGTAGTACTAGAAGCAGTGGCGGTTGTAGTAGTATTAGGAGTAGTAGTGGTAGCATTAGTAGCAGTAGAAGTAGTAGTAGCAGTATTCGGAGTAGTTGGAGTAGAAGTAGTTGGAGTAGTAAGAGTACTAATACTAGAAGAAATAGGAGTAGTAGTAGAGGTAGTAGTAGTAGTAGTAGTAGTTGTTGTAGCAGTAGTAATAGTAGAAGTAGTAGTAGTATTAGTAGTAGTAGGAGTTGTACTAGTAGTAGTAGTAGTAGTATTAGGAGTGGTAGTATGAGTATTATTATTAGTAGTAGTAGTAGTAGTAGTAGTAGAAGTCGTAGTAGTCGTAGAATTAGGATTAGCAGTAGAGGTTGTAGTAGTAGTAGTAGTAGTAGTAGTAGTAGTAGTAGTAGTAGTAGGAGTAGTAGTAGTAGTAGGAGTTGCAATAGAAGTAGTAGTAGTAGTATTAGAAGTAGTAGAGGCAGTATTAGTAGTAGCAGTAGTAGAAGTAGTAGAAGCAGTAGAAGTAGAAGTAGTAGTATTAGAAGTAGAAGTAGCAGCAGTAGTAGTAGTAGTAGAAGTAGTAGTAGTAGCAGCAGTATTCGGAGTAGTAGTAGTAGTCGTAGTAGTAGTAGAATTAGGAGAAGCAGTAAAGGTAGTAGTAGTAGTAGAAGTAGTAGTAGTAGTAGTAGTAGTAGGAGTAGTAGTAGTAGCAGGAGTATTAGTAGAAGAAGTAGTAGTAGTAGTGGTAGAAGTAGTAGTAGTAGTAGTAGTAGTAGCAGAGGTAGTAGTAGTAGTAGTATGAGCAGAAGCGGCAATAGTAGTATTAGGAGTAGTAGTGGTAGTAGCGGTAGTAGTAGTATTAGGAGTAGTAGTGGTAGTAGAGGTAGTAGTAGTATTAGAAGTAGTAGTGGTAGTATTATTATTATTATTAGCAGTAGTAGTAGAGGTAGCATAAGAAGAAATACGAGTAATAGTATAGGCAGTAGTAGTAATAGTAGTAGTAGTAGTAGTAGTAGTGGAAGTAGTAATAGTAGTAGAATTAGTAGTAGTAGAAGTAGTAGTAGTAGAAGTAGTAGTAGAAATAGGAGTAGCAGTAGATTTAGTAGTAGTAGTAGTAGTAGTAGTCGTTGAAGTAGCAATAGTAGTAGTAGTATGAGCAGAAGCGGCAGTAGTAGTATTAGCTGTAGTAGTGTCAGTAGCTGTAGTAGTTGTATTAGGAGATGTAGTGGTAGTAGCGGTGATAGTATAATTAGGAGCAGTAGTGGTAGTATTACTAGTAGATGTAGCAGTAGTAGTAGTAGGAGCAGTAGAAGAAATAGGAGTAATAGTAGAGGAAGTAGTAGTAGTAGCAGTACAAGAAATTAGAGTTGTAGTAGAAGTAGTAGTAGTAGTAGTAGTAGTAGTAATAGTAGTAGTAGTAGTAGCATTAGCAGTACTAGCAGCAGTAGGAGTAGCATTAGTAGTAGTAGTATGAACAGTAGCGGTAGTAGAAGTAGTATAAGGTGTATTAGTGGTAGTAGCGGTAGTAGTAGTATAAGGAATAGTTGTGGCAGTATTAGTAGTAGTAGTGGTAGTAGTAGTAGTAGTAGTAGTAGTAGTAGTAGTAGTAGTAGTAGTAGTGGTATTAGTAGTAGTGTTTGTAGTAGTAGTAGTAGTAGTAGTATTAGTCGTTGAAGAAGAATTAGGAGTAGCATTAGAGGTAATGGTAGTAGTAGTAGTTGTAGAAGTAGTAGAAGCAGTAGCGGTAGTAGTAGAATTAGGAGTAGTAGTGGTAGTATTAGTAGTAGCAGAAGTAGCAGAAGCAGTATTCGGAGTAGTAGTAGTAGTAGTAGAAGTAGTAGCGGTAGTAGTAGCATCAGGTTTATTAGCGGCAGCAGTGGTAGTAGTACTTGAAATAGTAGAAGAGCAGTAGTAGTAGTAGTAGTAGTAGTAGTAGTAGTAGTAGTAGTAGTAGTAGTAGTAGAAGTAGTAGCAGCAACAGCAGCAGTATTCTGAGTAGTAGTAGTATTAGAAGTAGAAGTAGTAGTAGAATAAGGAGAAGATGTATAGGCAGTAGTAGAAGTAATAGTAGCAGTAGTAGTATTAGTAGTAAAAGCAGTAGCGCTAGTAGTATTATTAGGAGTAGTAGTGTTAGTAGACGTAGTAGCAGTATTAGGAGTAGTAGTAGTAATATAAATAGTAGTAGTGGTAGTAGTAGTAGTAGTAGTAGTAGAAGAAGTAGAAGAAATAGGAGTATTAGTTGAGGTAGTAGTAGTATTAGTAGTAATAATAGTAGTAGCAGCAGAAGAAATAGGAGTAGAAGTAGAGGTAGGAGTAGTAGCAGCAGTAGTATTAGTAGTAGTAGTATTAGCCGTAATAGTAGTAGTAGTAGGAGTAGTTGTAGTAGTAGAAGTCGTAGTAGTAGTAGTAGTAGTAGTAGTAGTAGCAGTAGTAGTAGGATTAGTATAGCAGTAGTAGAAGCAGTAGCTGTAGTAGTAGTATTAGGAGTAGTACTGACAGTATTAGTGGTAGTAGTAGTATTTGTAGTAGTAGTAGTAGAGGCAGTAGAAGTTGTAGACGTACTAGTAGTAGTAGTAGCAGTAGTAGAAGTAGTTTTATGAGTGGTAGTAGTAGTACATGTAGTAGTAGTAGTAGTGGTAGCAGAAGCATTAGCGTTAGAAGTACTATTAGGAGTAGTAGCGTTAGTAGTAGTATTAGGAGTATTAATGGCAGTATCAGTAGTAGTAAAAGTAGTAGAATTAGTAGTAGCAGTAGTATTAGTAGTAGTAGTAGTAGTAGTAGTAGTAGTAGCGGTAGCAGTAGTAATAGTAGTATTAATAGTAGTATTAGTAGTAGTAGCATTTGAAATAGCAGTAGTAGTAGTAGTAGTAGTAGTAGTAGTAGTAGTAGCAGGAGTAGTAATAGATGTAGTAGTAGAAGTAGTAGTAGTAGTAATAGCAGTAGTAGTAGTAGTAGTAGTAGTAGTAGTAGTAGTAGTAGTAATAGTAGCAGCCGTATGGAGGTCATTTTAGTAGTAGAAGTAAAAGTAGTAATTGTACTAGTAATAGAAGTAGCGGTGGTAGTTGTAGCAGAAGTTTTAGTAGTGGTTACAGTATTATTATTGTTATTAGTTGCAGTATTAATGATGCTTGTATTGTAATTGTAGTAGTAGAAGTAGTAGTAGTAGCTGTAGTTGTAGTAGTATTAGTAGTAGTTTTAGCAGTAGTATTAGCACTAGTAGTATTAGTAATATTAACATTGTTGCTGATAGTAGTTGTAGTAGTAGTAGTAGTACTTGTAGTAGTAGCAGTAGTAGTAATAGTGTTAGTAGTATTAATATTAGTAATATTGGATGTATTTGTAGTGTTATTTGTAGTAAAATGGCGGTGGAGGCAGCAGTAGTAGTAGCGGTAGTAGTAGAAGTACTAGTAATAGTGTTAGCAGTAGTAGTAGTAGTAGTAGTAGTAGTGTTAGATTTAACAGAGGTATTGGTGCTGGTAGTGTTATTATTATTATTCGTGTTCTTGGTTGTAGTAGTAGTGGACGTGGCAGCAGTGGTTTTAGATACAGTAGTGGCAGTAGTATATGTATAAGCAGTAGTAGTAGTAGTAGTAGAAGTAGTATGAGTAGTAGTAGTAGTAGTGGTATTAATAATAGTAGTAATGGATGAATTAATATTAGTAATAGTGGTAGTGGGAGCCGCAGTTGCAGTAGTATTATAGTAGTAGTAGTAGTTGTTGTAGTAGTAGTAGTAATTGTAGTAGTAGTAATTCTCGCAATAGTGTTAGCATTAGTAATTTTGTTATTATTAGTATTAGTTGTGTTATTGGCAGAAGTATTAGTAGTAATAGTAGTGTTAGTATTCGTGGTAGTATAATGGAGGTTGTTGTATTATTAGCAGTAGCAGTAGTAATAGCAACAATATCAGCGGTGGAAGTAGTTTTAGTGGTAGTATTAGTAGTAGTAGTAGTAGTAGTAGTAGTAGTAAGAGATGTTGTTGTAGTATTAGTAGTAGTAGTAGTATTCGTTGTAGTTGTATTGGCAGTACTATTAGTAGTAGCAGTAGTATTAGTAGTTGCATTAGTACTAGTAGAAGTAGTATTAGTAATATTATTCGTAGCATTATACGTAGTAGTAGTGTTAGTATAAGTGATATTAATGTGCACTTGGTTGTAGAAGTAATAGCAATAATTTTAGAGGTGGCAGTATTAGTGGTGGTGTTAGTGGTTGTGTTATTTGTAATTTTGGTGGTAGTAGTAGCAATGATAGTACAAGTACTAGTAGTAGTAGTTGTAGTAGCAGTAATGGTATTGGTAGTAATGGACGTAAATCTGGTATTATTTGCATTAGTAGTAGTAGTAGTAGTAGCAGCGATAGTTGTATTAGTAATAGCAGAAGTAGTATTATTAGCAATATTCGTAGTTATAGTAGTAGTAGTAGTTGTTGTTGTAGAATAGTAGTAGTAGAATGGTGGTAGTAGTAGTAGTAGTGGTAGTAGAAGTAATTGTGCTAGTAATAGTATTAATATTGGTAGTAATATCCGCTGTTGTAGTAGTATCAGCAGATTTTATAGTAGAAGTTTTAGTACCATTAGCAATAATAGAAATTGTACTATTGGCAGTATGATTGGTGCTGGCAGTAGTAGTATTAGCAGCAGTATTGTTGGTTATTGTGTTAGTAGTGCTGGTGGTAGAAGTAGTTGTATTTGTAGCATTAGTTTTAGCAGTATTTTAAGTAGTTGTTTTGCTAACAGTAGTAATAGCGGTAGTAGTAATTATAGTAGCAGTTGTGATAGTAGTAGTAGTGTTAGTAACAGTAGCTGTAGTGTTAGTAATTGCATTGGTATTAATAGCAGTAGTAGTAGTAGTTGTAGTTGTAGTAGTATTAGTAATAGTGGTAGCAGTATTAGTAGAAGTAATATTAATAGTAGTAGTAGTAGTAGAAGCAGTAGCGGTAGTAGTAGTATTAGGAGTAGTAGTTGCAGTCTAAGTAGTAGCATTAATAATATTACCAGTAGTAGTATTAGTAGTACAATCAGTAGCGGTAGTAGTAGTAGTATTAGGATTAGTAGATGCAGTATTAGTAGTAGTATTAGCAGTAGTAGTAGTAGTAGTAGTTGTAGACATAGTAGTAGAATTAGCAGGAGTAGTAATAGTTGTATTAGTGGTAGTAGTATTACTAGTAGAAGTAGTAGTAGCAGAAGTAGTAGCGGTAGTAGTACTATTAGGAGTAGTAGCGTTAGTAGAAGTATTAGGACAAGTAGTGGCAATATCAGTAGTAGTAGTAGTAGTAGTAGTAGTAGTAGTAGTAGTAGTAGTAGACGTACTATTAGTAGAACTAGTAGTAGTAGTAGCAGTATTAATAGTAGTAGTAGTAGTAGTAGTAGTAGTAGCAGTAATTGGAGAAGTGGAATTAGTAGTAGTCGTAGTAGTAGTAGAATTAGGAGAAGTAGTATAGGTAGTGGTATTATTAGTAATAGAAGTAGTAGTATTAGTAGTAGAAGTAGAAGTAGGAGTAGTAGTAGTATTAGCAGGAGTAGTAGTAGATGTAGTAGTAGTATAAATAGGAGGAGCAGTAGAGGTAGTAGTAGTAGTAGTAGTAGTAGTAGTAGTAGTAGTAGTAGTAGTAGTAGTATGAACAAAAGCGCTAGTAAATGAATTAGGAGTAGTAATGGTAGTAGTGGTAGTAGTAGTATTAGGAGTAGTACAGGTAGTATTATAATTTGTAGTGGTAGAAGCAGTAGCATTAGAAGAAATAGGAATACTAGTAGAGGTAGTAGTAGTATTAGTAATAGTAGTAGAATTAGTAGTATTATTAGTATTAGAAGTTGTGGTAGTATAAGTATTTGAAGTAGTAAAAGAAAAAGGAGTAGCAGTAGATGTAGTAGTAGTAGTAATAGTCGTAGTAGTAGTAGTAGTATTATTTGCAGTAGAATTAGTATTAGTAGTAGTAGTAGAAGTAGTAGTAGTAGTATGAGCAGAAGCGGTAGTAGTAGTATTATGTGTAGTAGTGTTAGTAGCGGTAGTAGTATTATTAGGAGGAGCAGTGGTAATATTAGCAGTAGAATTAGTACTAGTAGTAGTATTAGTAGCAGTAGAAGAAATAGGAGTATTAGTACAGTTAGTAGTAGTAGTAGTAGCAGTAGAAATAGTAGTAGAAGTAGAAGAAATAGGAGTATTATTAGAGGTAGTAGTAGTAGTAGCAGCAGTAGTAGTAGTAGCAGGAGTAGGACTAGCATTAGTAGTAGTAGTGGTAGTATTATGAGCAGTAGCGGAGGTAGTAGTAGTATTAGGTGTAGTAGTGGTAGTAGCGGTAGTATTAATATTAGGAGTTTTAGTGGTAGTAATAATAGTAGTAATGGTAGTAGTATGTTTAGTAGTCGTAGTAGTAGTAGTAGTGGTATTATTAGTAATGTTAGTAGTAGTAATAGTAGTAGTAGTACTAGAGGCAGTAGCGGTAGTAGTAGAATTAGGAGTAGTAGTTTTAGTATTAGTAGTAGTATTAGTAATATAAGTAGAATTATTCGGAGTAGTAGTAGTAGTAGTAGAAGTATTCAGTATAATTCAGTATATATGAGGGATAGAGGCAGAGCCTTGGAAAACCCTATTTACAGATAGACGTATGAAAAAAACATGCAGATATTTACATAGCAGTTATACCAGCCATTGATATCATGTAAATGTTTGACCATCAAGCATAAGTTTATCTAGTCTTCTTTTGAAGGTCTCGACGTTTTCCGCTAAGACAACGGAGTTCGGCAATTTGTTCCATCCCTCAACCAGCCGGTGAGAGAAGAATTTGGCCGTAGTAGTAGTAGTAGTAGTAGTAGTAGTAGTAGTAGTAGTAGTAGTAGTATTAGTAGATGTAGTAGCTGTAGTAGTAGTAGTATTAGGTGTAGTTGTCCCAGTAGAGGTAGAAGTAATAGAAGTAGTAGTAATAGTCTTAGAATTAGTAGTAGTAGTAGTCGTAGTAGTTGTACTCGTAGTAGTAGAATAATGAGTTGCAGTATAGATATTATTTGAAGTATTATTAGCAGTAGTAGTAGGATTAGGAGAAGCAGTAGCGGTAGTAGGATTATTAGGAGTATTATTGTTGGTAGCGGTAGTAGTAGTATTAGGATTAGTAGTGGTAGTATTAGTAGTAGTAGTAGTAATAGTAGTAGTAGTAGTTGTTGTAGTGGAAGTAGAAGAAAATGGAGTAGTAGCTGAGGTAGTAGGATTAGTAGTAGTAGCAGTAGAACTAATAGGATTTGTAGTAGAGGTAGTAGTATTAGCAGTAGTAGTAGAAGTATGCGTAGATGTAGTAGTCGTAGTAGTAGTAGTGGTAGAAGTAGTAGTAGTAGTACTAGTAGTAGTAGTAGTAGAATCCGTAGCGGTAGTAGTATTATTAGGAGTAGTAGTGGTTTTACTAGTAGAAGTGGTAGTAGTAGAGTTAGTAGATATCGTAGTAGTAGTAGTAGTAGTAGTAGTAGTAGTAGCAGTAGTAGTATTAGTAGTAGTAGTAATAGTAGTAGTCGAGGTAGTAGAATTATATGTAGCAGTAGATGTAGTAGTAGTGGTAGTAGTAGCAGCAGTAGCATTAGTAGTAGTTGTAGTAGTAGTAGTAGAATCAGTAGCGGCAGTAGTACTATAAGAAGTAGTTGTGGTATTATTATTAGTATTATTAGTAGTAGTAGTAGTAGCAGTAGTACTAATTGCAGTATTCGCAGTAGTAATATTAGTAGTAGCAGTCGTAGTAGTAGTAGCAGTGGTAGTATTAGTAGTTGTAGTAGTAGTAGTAGATATAGTAACGTTAGTCGAAGTATTAAAATAAGTTGTAGTACCATTAATAAAATTGGTAGTTTTGGTGCCATCAGCGTGGTGGCATTACTAACGGGGGTAGATGTAGTATTAGCATTAGTAGTAGGAGCAGTAGTAGTAGTATTAGTAATAGTAATGTTTGTAGCAATAATAGCAGCATTATTAATAGTAGTAATAGTGGTAGCAGTAGTAGTTCCGGTGGTGGTAGTAGTAGTTCTGCCGTTGGCAGTATTAGTAGTAGTAGTAGTAGCAGAATTATTACTAGTAGAATTAGTAGTAGTAAAAATTTTATTAGAATTAGTAGTAGTAGTGTTTGTAGTAGTATAGGTATTAGTAGTATTAGTGTTATTAGTGGTAGTAGTAGTAGAAGTAGTAGTAGTAGTAGTAGTAGTAGTAGTAGTAGTATTAGTAGCCGTATGGATGTCATTTAATTAGTAGCAGTAACAGTAGTAATAGTACTAGTATTAGTATTAGCGGTGGTAGTAGTAGTAGTAGTAGAAGTGGTAGTAGTGGTTCTAGTATGATTATTGTTATTAGTAGCAGTAGTAGTGATGCTTGTATAGTTATTGTAGTAGTAGAAGCAGTAGTAGTAGCTGTTGTAGTAGTATTATTAGTAGTAGTTTTAGCAGTAGTAATAGCAGTAGTAGTAGTGTTATTACCATTGTTGCTGATAGTAGTAGTAGTAGTACTTGTAGTAGTAGCAGTAGTAGTATTACTGTTAGTAGTACTAATATTAGTATTAGTGTTTGTATTTGTATTGTTATTTGTAGTAATATGGCGGTGGCGGCAGCAGTAGTAGTAGCAGTAGTAGTAGAAGTACCAGTAGTAGTATTAGCAGTAGTAGTAGTAGTAGTGTAATTTGTAGCGGTGGTAGTGGTGCTGGTAGTATTATTATTAGTATTAGTGTTGTTGGTTGTAGTAGTAGTGGACGTGGCAGCAGTGTTTTTAGATACAGTAGTAGCAGTAGTATATGTATAAATAGTAGTTGTAGTAGTAGTATGAGTAGTACTAGTATTGGTATTAATAGTAGTAGTAATTGTTGAATTAATATTAGTAATAGTGGTAGTGGCAGCCGCAGTTGCAGTAGTATGATAGTAGTAGTAGTAGTAGTAGTAGTAGTAGTTCTAGCAATAGTGTTAGCATTAGTAGTTTTGTTATTAGTAGTATTAGTTGTGTTATTGGTAGAAGTATTAGTAGTGTTAGTATTCGTGGTAGTATTCGTGGTAGTATAATGGAGGTTGTTGTATTATTAGCAGTAGCAATAGTAATAGCAACATTATCAGCGGTGGAAGTAGTTTTAGTAGTGGTAGTTTTATTCGTTGTAGTTGTATTGGCAGTACTATTAGTAGTAGTAGTAGTAGTAGTAGTAGTAGTAGTAGTAGTTGCATTAGTACTAGTAGAAGTAGTATTAGTAATATTATTCGTAGCATTATTCGTAGTAGTATTGTTAGTATTAGTGGTAGTAATATGCAGTTGGTTGTAGTAGTAATAGCAATAATTTTAGCGGTGGTAGTAATATTAGTGGTGTTAGTGGTTGTGTTAGTTGTAATTTTGGTGGTAGTAGTAGCAATGATAGTATAAGTACTACTAGTAGTAGTAGTTGTAGTAGTAGTAGTGGTTTTGGTAGTAATCGACGTACGTCTGGTATTATTTGCATTAGTAGTAGTAGTAGTAGTAGTAGTAGTAGCAGCGATAGTTGTATTAGTAGTAGCAGTAGTAGTAATATTAGCAATATTAATAGTTATAGTAGTAGTAATAGTAGTAGTAGGAGGAGTAGTAATTTTGGTGGTAGTGGTAGTAATAGTGTTGGTGGTTGTAGTAGTAATGTTATCAGTAGTAGGTGTAGTAGTAGTAGAAGTATTAGTAATTGTTTTATTATGAATATTAATAGTAATGTCGGTAATAGTAGTAATAATGGTAGTAGTAGCCGTAGCATTAACAGCAGTAGTATTAGTAGTAGTAATAGTAGTAGTGGTAGTGATAGCAGTAGTGGTGGTGCTGGTTGTGGTAGTAGTAGTTATATTCGTAGTGGTGGCTGTAGTAGTAGTAGTAGTTGTAGCATATTAGTAGTAGAATAGTAGTAGTAGTAGTAGTAGTGATAGTAGTAGTAATTGTGGTTGTAATAGTAGTAATATTGGTAGTAGTATCCGCTGTTGTAGTAGTATCAGTAGTTTTTCTAGTAGTAGTATTAGTACCATTAGCAATAGTAGTAATGGTATTATTGGCAGTATTAGTGGTGCTGGTAGTAGTAGTATTAGTAGTAGTATTGTTGGTTATTGTATTAGTAGTGCTGGTGGTAGCAGTAGTTGTATTTGTAGCATTAGTTTTAGCAGTAGTTTAAGTAGTTGTGTTGCTAACAGTAGTAGTAGCGGTAGTAGTAATTGTAGTAGTAGTTGTGATAGTAGTAGTAGTGTTAGTAATAGTAGTTGTAGTGGTAGTATTTGCATTGGTATTAATAGCAGTAGTAGTAGTAGTAGTAGTATTAATAGTAGTAGCAGTAGTAGTAGTATTATTTGATTCGTTTTTGTAGTAGTAATTTTACTTTTAGTAATATTTTTAGTGGTAGTGGTACTGGTAGTATTAATAGTAGTATTACTGTTAGTAATAAGAGTATTAACAGTAGTATTAGCAGAAGTAGTATTAGTAGTAGTATTAGCATTAGTAATTGTAGTTTTGTTGGTATTAGCAGTGGTATTAGTAGTGGTGTTGGTATTAGTAATTCTCGTATTTTTAATTGTAGTAATAGCAGTAGTATTAGCAGTTGTAGTAGTAATATTTGTAGTAATAGTAGTAGTATTATTAGTAGTGGTATTAGTAGCAGTAGTATTGGTGCTGGTAATAGTAGTGGTAGTATCTGTAGTGATACTAGTAGTAGTGTTAATAATAATAGTGGTAGTATTAGTAGTAGTAGAAGCATTGCCAGCATCCGCAGTATGTCTTTTCACTAACAGTGGCACTGCTACTAGCGGTAGTGTTAGTTGCAAATCCATTGGCAGTAACAGTCTTTCAGGTAGTATCCGCTGCGCAGATCTTGCATCTACCGATGGGGTAGTGGTAGTGATGCCAGCGGTACCGAGGTGATTTCTTATCCGTTTACCCGGTTACCATCTCGGAAGGCCGTACACTGGCTTACCAGTTTACCCGGAGGGCTGGTCACCGGCTTACCGAGGTGGGAAAGTGCGTTTAGGTGGAAGTTAGGAGAATTCATGCTGTGGTTAAATGCGACTAAAACGCCATCACACCATGTCGTAGGGGTGGTTCTTGCAGCTCGTGTATGCTTATTCATGCATGCGTCCTGTCATGTGACTCGGACAATGAACAAACACAGGGCACGTGAATACATTTCAGATTGCCTAGGGTAGTAGGGCTGGGGGGAGGTTACCGTATGTGATAGTGGGCCGGTGGTCATGTCTCGACGGCAGCCGCTTGAAGAGGCGCCGTCCAAGGCCAACACCACCATCGCCTAGTGGCCAGTTCAGGCCAGTCAGAAAACTCGAGGGCTTTGTTTAGCTTAAAACCGTGAGCAT